ATCAACACTCTTCTCTCTTATCTATGATCTTATATGATCATAGGACTCCTGCCTAGGGAATTATACTGCCCACAGTAGGCTGTGTCTTCCCAAGTCAATTAGCAATCAAGACAATTCCCTACAGACAAGTCTACAAGCCAACCCAATTTAGAGGATCCCTCATTGAGTCTCCCTTCCCATATGACTCTAGGTTGGGTCAAATGAGCAATAAAAGCTAAACAGCGCCTTATCTCCTCAAACTTACAGCCGTGGTCAGCTCTGGCCTCCTTATGAAAATGCTGCTAACTGTATTATTTAAACAACAAACACAAGCTTCTCAGGGACTGTGGTGTCTGAGGCAGAGGTGTTGGCAGACCTGGAGTGCTGTCTTACTTCCTGGTCTGCAGATGGCCAAATTACTGTTCTGTCCTCGCCTGGGGCAGAGGAGAGAAGACAGTGAGATGCCCCCCCCTCCTGTTATAAAGGCACTAATCACATCCCAGAGGGCTCAGTTTCACAATCAAGCTACCTCTAAACACCAACACATTGAGAATGTTGGGAGGGCTCAATTTCACAATCAAGCTACCCCTAAATACCAACACGTTGGGAATGTTGGGAGGTGATCTTAACGTATGAGTTTTGAGGGAGAACAAATCTTCAGTTTACAAGACCACCAACTGGAATCTGATTTTACACAAGGCTTCCAAAAGTTAAGCCGACACCCCAGCAAAGCCTGAACATCGCTCTATCTGTAGACTTATCTTTCTGAACTTCTCTGTGTTCCGAGAGACCAGCAAAGGCAGATAGGTCCTTGTGGTCACCCTGTCTTTCTGTCAGAATGAAGATCTAAATGCTAGCAGGGCAGTGGGCACACACGCACCTTGTCAAGGGCAGGCTCTCCTCTTATTTCACCTTCTGCTGCAGGAATGATCCATAACACAGTGAACAGCGGAGAGAGGCAATGGCTTAGGCCTTAGGGCAGCCACTGCACTCATATCCTTGACCATGGTCTGAACACAGCAAACCATGGCACGGCCACAACAGAACTGCATCTCTGGGTGCCCATCAGGCAACCATCACACTCAACAGATGGGTAAGTTAGTAGGTCTTTGGAAAGCTAAGACGATCACTGCGGTAAAGGGATATTCCCTTAGCAGTCATTTCAGAAACATTGCAATCAGGAACAGGTGTGTCTGTGGATCAAGGGAGCAGGACAAGAGATAGTGGGTAGGAATCCCAGATGAATTGGGAGAAAAGTGGAAGCTGGAAGACAGGTCTGAACAACCAGATCAGACAACAAGGTGCAGACAGAGAGAGATGAGCCTGGAGGAGTCTGACGGATAAAACACAGAGCAGAAGAAGCACCTGGCTTAGCGGGAACATCGGTGCTTCAGATTTGGCTTATCAACTCCAGGCCCGTGACAGCCTACCAATCCTAATGGACACCCATGCTCCGTATCCGTTAATGTGTGCTGAGAGATATTTTACTCAGTAACACATTTTCGCATGATTGATAAAAATAATTGCTGTTCTTAATCTTTGTTTTGCAACTGATCCTAAGCAATTTAAAAAATACTCTGTCTTCTTCAAATCGGTACATTGAAAGTAGGGAAATAGCTTTTCTATTACATATGAATTTTTAATTGTTATTATATGTTTAATCAGCATAAAAATTATACAAATTTATGGGGACTCATGTGACATTTGGGTACATGTATGCTTGTGCAATGCTCAAACAAGGGTAAGTGTATCTAACTCCTTAAACAGTTATTATTTTGTGGTAAGAGTATTCAGTGTAATTTCTTACATGTTAATATTTGGGGACTACACAGTGTGTTGTGACTGTGTATAGCCACCTCTCCCTCACCATCCCACCGGAGCTTACTTCTGTTTCCTTCTTGTAAAACAGCCCTCACTGACCAACCTCTCTCACCAAATGTGTTATCCCAGTTTCTAAACCTTTCTGTAGAATTTGTTTGAGTGAAATTTCTTTCCATGTGATTCATGATGAATTGATATTTAGAAGAGAAGACAGGTTCAGTTAAATGTAAAGCAACAAGTCTGATTTGTTCCTTATCTGCAAAGTCAGTAGACATAAAATAGTAATACTAATGCCCTATCATAGAATTTCAAAGAGAAAATGAAGGACTTGCAATTTTTCAATGGAAGCACAACTGAGTCATAAATATTTGGCATCCCAGTCTTTTTTAAATAATACGTGGATTACATAAAATGATACACTGTATAGGGTTAGATATGGACATATCCTAGAAATGACTGCATTGTGTCAAACTTGGTTGTTTTTCTTCATTGCTTGAGATCTTTCGGGAGATTCCTACTGATTTCAGCGTGGAAGTCAAGGCTGGCTCGTGGGCGCTGGTGGAGCCCTATTTCAAGGGTCATGGTGTAAGGTGTGGGTATTGGTGTTCCCAGGCCCACTGGTCTCTCTCAAGACACTGTCAGTTTTCACGTGCCGGGCCTCATATCTGTCTTGTATCCCCTGTCAGTGGGACTGTGGTTTATGACTTCACATGGAGTTGTATAACTGAATGTAAGGGTATTGAAAACTCCAGCAACAGTTTCTCAATACAGTAGAACAAAAGCCAAGTACCATTGAATGTATGCTCAAACTGGGATGCTTCTGACAGTGGTGGCTAGTGTTAAATCACACAGCATCCCTGCATCTGTGGTTCTGAGCATTTAAAACAAATGCTTTGCACTGCACGTGATGTCGCCAGGCCACACGATTGGGGGGGGGGGGTCTATACCAAACAACATGACTTATAGTCACATGGAGTGCTTTGCATCTCAGTGTCTTTACTGCACAGACAAAAGTTTCACTCTTACAGAAATGCAGGGGTTTACTTAGAGGAAACAGACCCACGGGGACTGGTAAGATGGCTCAGGTATTATGGATCCTGGTACAATTCCCAGCACACACATGGCAGCTCAAAACATTTCCAGGGCTTTTATCACCTTCCTCCGCCTCTGCAGGCATGAGGCACACACTTGGGCACAGACATATGTGAAGGCAAAACATGCTACACACAAATCTAAATAAATAAATTTAAATGCTCAAAAAGAAACCCAACTTTTTAATACTTTCCTATTGTCATTCCTCAGAATACAAGCATCAGATTCATTTCTCTTTAGACTGGATTATGTTAGAACTTTGATTTTCAACAATTGCTATTTGAGTTTCTGTCTTAAGCTGCACACACACACACACACACACACACACAGACAAATCACTGTGGGAAATTTGACTTGGAATTGCAACAGAATTTTTCAAAATTTCTCAAACGGTGTTAAACATATTTCTGTCATTTTATACTATACATGTATATGAAACAGCATTAAATTTCATTTGCTCTCTTAACTTGAACAGGGAAGTATTTAGGGTTTGTTTGCTTGCTTAAGAGGCAAACAAATCCTAGGCGGGAGAGGGAGACTCCAGCACTTCCTTCTTGTTCACTGGCTACCACCGGACACCATCTTCCTCATCCTCACGCGTTAGCCTCATGAGGAAGAATGCGGATGAGTCCCCCCAACCTGTTGTAGCTCTCACTTCGACATCCTTCATGTTCCCACCTATTTCTCAGTAGAGTTTAGTTCCTGCCACAGCCTAAACTTTCTTTATGCTTCCTTTGGTAAGAAACCACATATGTGCAAATCTCCAGCAATCTGTTGGCGTTCGTGGAAATGAGGTTCACAGAATAGCTGTCATTTCATCCAGGGATGCAAGGTAAACACGGATCAGCAGCAGAGCTGTCTGCTAGGTCACCTGCAGCAGAACTGTCTACTAGATCACCTGCTCAGCCTTTCCGTAGGTTCTCTGAAAGCCGAAACATCAGAGCTATTGATTCACAACTGAATTATCAGTCCAAAAGTCTCCTCCCTCTCCCCCAAATCTGCCTTCTGTGAGTGCCACGACACTCACGTCTCAATCTTAGATTTGAACAACGATATTTTGGGCAGCTTGAATTGGTTGTGGATCTTTCTGCTGCTGTCCTGACTTCACCTGCTGGGCGTCTCCTTGTAAGATTAGCAACGCCATCCCCAACAGATGCTGAAACTTGCCACATAGCAATGCTCTCGGCTTACCTGCAGCAGATTCTTCTGCATTTAGTTCCCACTCACCTCTTTTTTCTCACTCGTACCACAGTGGCTCCCTTCCTTTCAATCTGCCCAACAAGACACCCAAACAGACCCCACTCCCAGCTTCTCCCGGGAATGCCGCTGGTCAGTTCCCAAAGACTCCTTGAATCCCCTTCCCTGCAGCTGCACTGTGGGAGGCCTGGCAGACTCCCCTCCTCCCGTTCTGCCCAGCCTGCCAACTCCCTGCCAGTTTCCCCATCCAACTCCTCCACCCTAGGCAAGCTTGGGCCAAGACCAGTCTGAGCTAAGCCAACAGATGCAGAAGTTCCTTCTCAAATGGCACAGCACTGGCCGGTAGAGCAAGAAGATGGAAACGGAGTCAAGAGGGTTCAACAGGACTTCTGGAGACGCAGAACCTTCTCGCCTCCCTCCTCATTTGTCTCCCAGCCATTTTATTTTACCTTTCCATTGAACACTAAAAGGTTTTTTTTTTCTTCCAAAGGTGAAGATAATATAGCTGAATTTTTATTTCCTGTTTAACTTGTGATTTAAAAAGAATAAAAGGAAAGAGAGCCCTGCAGATTTAACTATGGATAAAAATAGCCATGTTGTCTTAAAGTCATTAAGTGAACGTAACGAGCTCTTTGTGGTCTCAGGCTATCTGGGAGCTGGCACCTGTCACCACCCTCTGTCCTCATCCAGAAGCGAGGCAGCCAGAGTCAGGATCCCACACTTAATGGCACCTTGAGAGTAAGTGCTCCCACGTGCCCAACAACCTGCTACTCTCAACAGCCGTCACTGGGTGACTCCGCGTCCCTCCTCCCACCACTGCTCTTCGCCTAAAACAGGGTTTGCCTGGCGGCAGGAGCACCGCGTCGGGCTGCGCGTGCGCATGCCGCCATCCGAGCGTCGCGGCGCCTCACCTGGCTTTGCTGTGCCCGTTCCAGCACTCCTCCTCGTTGGATGTGCCCGCTGTCACCCTCTCGTCCTTGCAGATGGTGTAGGGCAACGTCGACCAGACCTTTTTAGAGAGCTTCAGTTTTTCCTTGATGTCTGTGACCTGATCGAGAAAGCAAGGAAAGAGTGTGAGGCGACTCCCCAGGCTTTGCTTGTCTCTCCCCGTGAGGACTCGACACAGTGAAGATGGCGGACCCAAGGGACACGAGCTACCATTTTCAACAGAAGGAAATCAGGCTAGAGGGCTCGTTGCCCAGAAAGACTCTGACCTCCACTTCACTCTCATTCCTCCCAGAGAATGCTCAGCACATTGGCTCTCTGTTTTTCCTCTTCTCTGTCCTGTCGTTTGAAATAAAACTCCTTAATTGGGAGTGTCTGGTCTGGTTTTTGGCTACTCTATTGCAGAGTATTGCTAAGCATGCCCTAAGTTCTTGCTTTCGAACACGTTTCCTGGGTGCCAGAGAAACGTTCCAAAACAAGCACAAAAGAGATCGCACACATTTCCCAATAGACAGCGTTTCTGCAAGAAATAAATATTGCTGCCGGCTCGGCGGCTGATAACCTCTGCCCTAGACCATACGGCAGGTTCATACAGAATGCTTTTGATGGTGAACAGTAAACTGAATCCACCCCAAAATTTCTGGTACCCAAGGATGAAAGTTAACTTAAATATAAGCATTGATGTAGTTCTAGAGCCTGCAGGAGGTTTTAGTATCAGTGTCTGAGGCGTTTCCAGCTCAGTATGGACTTCTTACCTGTGGGGGAGGAAGGGATATGGATTTGGTGCCATTTTGGCTCCCTCGTGAACACCCAGGTTTACTCATTTCATGCAGTCAGTATCCTGCCTACCCATTCTTTAGGAACAACGAGAAAATGCATGGATGGACAACGCGCAACAGTTACAGGTTGCATTGGGTCCCCACAAGCCAGCATTTTTGAAGTCCTGACCCAAAGCATCATAGAATGTGTCCTAATTTTGAGATAGGGTCGTTACAGCAGTGAGGAAGTCAGAGTGAGCCCATTTAGATAGACTCAAAGTCAGGAAGGCTGGGTAGAAGACGGGAACACAGAGGGAGAACGAAGGCATGGTACAGGAGACGGCCATTTAAAGGCCCGAAACCCATCCTTGCTGACGGCTGAAGAAGGAACCAATGCGCAGAGACCTGACGTCAGACTTCTTGCTTCCCTGGCTCTCAGTGCTGTGTGTGGTCAAGAGTGCACACGTCACACATGGACCTCGTCACATCCTAGTCAACAGTACCCTTTGCTCCTTCTCATCTCTGTGCTTCTGAGGCAAGGCTGGGTTTGGAAATAATCTCATCCTCGGTGGTTGGAGATGATCGAATGGTCATTCATCCTAGTTTCTAACTTAGGGAAACTCAGAATGCTAAACTTAAAGAAAAACAAAGCTTATAAAACCAGAGTGAATTAGTGACATTTCTTCACATACCGTGTTTGATAAATATCCACTGAAATATTAGTTTTCATTATCCCATCCTGTTATGAGTTCATAGACAATATCACAAACACTGCACAGTTGGGGGTCATAATACCATGTGTCCTGCATCTCATAAGGGCTGCAGTGAGGTATGGGACTGTCTCTGGATGTGTAAGGAGCCCTCATGGGGATCAGGTGTGGCGTCCCTGATTGCTCATTGTACCACATTGTATAATTCAGGCCCTGTTCTCCCTGGCATTTTGGTAGCTGTACATTTTCATTGTACAATTCACGGAGACGACAGCAGAGGAGCGTGGGAAATGTAAATGCTGCTTTAATATTCTGCACGAGTGCCAGGCAACTCACCTGCAGCCTGCAGAGGCGAGGCAGACAGCTGAACGAATGGACGCTATTAGCCACTGGGCAAGAGCATGCCTGGGATTTCTAGGGTATACTGGAATGACGGAAGTGCATTTCCGGGTTCAGGATAGGTTTTTAGTTCTCACATTGTTTGGAAACGCTTATTTCACTCTACTTGCTGTTTTGACCTCTGAATTACAGATTACAAGTACTTTGCAACAGCTCCAGACCCAAGCTTTCTGGTTTGTTTTCCTGGAACTTGAGGGTCTGTCACAGTAAGGAAAGCCTTAAGCTACAAGTATCCCAGAACGAATGTGTTATGGGCAGCCACAAGAGTCCCACTTATTAGACAACGCAGACTCAAGGGAAACAGGGGCCTGGAGTCTTCTTAACAGCTTCCTTTCTTCCTTTGCAACCCAGATGAGCGACTCTAGGACCATCTTTCACCACACAGGTAAGTACAAGCAGACCAACATCATCGGGAAAATACCGTCATTACAGCAGGGTTTGCAATGGAGAAGTAGGAAGTCTTTTTTTTAATTTTTGCCTATTTTTATTGACATTCTGAATCCAAACATATACAGTTGGGTTTCACAGAGAAAACCCAAGCCATCTTTTTAGTACTTCTCTGTACTTTGACAATTTGAACTACTACTTTCTAGAGCTGTATCTTTTAGTTTAAGGCCCATGAAAAAGTCCATGGGAAACTGACTCCATGGGGACACAGTGAAACCTCTCCTCGACCCACCCTAGTGTAAGCCAGAAACTCACAGTGCAGAAAGCAAGGCCACAAGGCAGAATAACCACAAAAGCCAGAGATGCGTAAAATCAAAGGATAGATAGGAAGAATGCTCGGTTGATATGGGAGTGATTTCTTACTAATAAAGAAACTGCCTAGGCCCATTTGATAGGCCAACCCTTAGGTGGATGGAGTAAACAGAACAGAATTCTGGGAGAAAGAAGCTGAGTGAGGGAGTAGCCATGGTTCTCCTACTCCAGACAGACGCAGGTTAAGATCCTCCCTGGTAAGCCACCTTGTGGGCTACACAGAATATTAGAAATGGGTTAGAACAATATGTAAGAGCTAACCAATAAGAGGCTGGAACTAGCCGGGCCAGGCAGTGTTTAAAAGAATACAGTTTCCGTGTAATTATTTCAGGTAAAGCTAGCCATGCAGGGGGCCGGTACCGGGGACGCAGCCTTGCTGCTCTAAACACTACACTCGGTCACTTTAATTCGCGGGTATCACTTAAGAAATAAGCTCACCTCGAATATTAAACTCGAATTTCATGAAATTTCTGACTTAACATCCAATTTGCAGTGGACACTAGGGGTAGGGGAAGAAACTGAGCAACAGCATAAATAAATGATCAGACACAGCGTGAACCAGGCATCATATAAGACGATGGGGCTCGACTCCTCAAAAGAGCCCAAGCAAATAAATAAATCAATAAAGGCAGGAAGACTGTTCTAGATGAAAAGAAACCCAATGAAACATACCAACCAAATGCCATGTGGAAGACCTTGCTCAGTCTTAGATCTGGAGGCTGGCGCCCAGCTGGTAGAGAGACTTTCGAGATAACGGGGCAGTTTTCAACACAGGACAGATACTAATTGGTGCTAAGCCTCTTCTATCTCCACAACTCTGTCTTGCTGAGCTGTGGTTGCCACACCCCTTGCACAGCAGAGGCACAGGGGTCCTGTGCAGCTAAGACATCTTGTCACATGTCTAGTCAGTAGTAGAGACAACACATGGTTTCAGATGAGGATTGTGTAGCTGAACGACAGGTGTCATTGCTGAGAGTCCTGGCTTCAAAGCCTGCAGCACTGGGCTGAGATCCTTGTGCATATATCTCTGTGGGGGCAGGGATGACTCACTGTGCTCAGGCTGAACACATTGAAGCTGAACACTCTTGTTTCTACTTTCAAAATATAAAAATGTAAGTGGAATTAGGCTTTCCTACTATTCCATGTAGAGATTGATATTGCGGCCAGGTCATGTGTAGGTGGACATTTTACCGCTGTGAGACGGAATGGACAGTCTTCCCCAAGAGGAAGTGTGGGCCCATGCATGTGTAGATAAGATCCCGTGGTTTTCATCAACTTATTCAACGGAGTAGTGAGTTAAAAATACCTTTGGAAGAGAAACGATGGATTTCTTTCCAACCATGAAAGCGCAAGAAGACAATGAATGGTTGGTTGAGTGCTACTGTTCCCTTGCTAATAAATCTGTCTTAAGATCCTTGTGGATACCCCAAACTATGCACAACCCTAAACCCTACATTTTTTACCTCCACATGTATACCTATGATAAAGCTTGTAAACTGCATATGAAGAACTGACGGTAATGTCGGAGGGAGTCCACAGAAGTGGGTCTGCTCCACCTTGACTAAAGGTCAGAGAGTTCAGGCCTATTCTTGCTCCTTCAAGGTTATCAACAAGAGACTTAACTTAAGGTGTGGCATAAAGTGAGATCATGGATAAAAGGAACTCCATTTTTCTTTCTTTTGGAATTTTTATTCTATGGGCATATGTGTCTTATCGGCATGTATTTCTGTGCACCTCACCAGATCCTCTGGGACCAGAGTTAGAGAATGTTGTGAGACACCACATGGTGCTGGCAATTGAACCTGATTTTTCTGGAAAAGCAACCAGTGCTCTTAAGTGCGGATCCATCTCTCCAACCCTCTCCTAAGAGCTTCATTTTGAAATCGGACACCATCATTGTACGTATTTGTGACGTGTTATGTGATACTTTGATATAGGCTTGCATCATTTCATGATCAAACCAGGGTAAGCTTTATCTGTTCAAACACTCATCACTTCTTTGTGATGACAGCAGACACACGTCTCTCCTCAAGCTTTCTCTCCATGCCTCTGCAACACTATGAGGTAAGAGTTATAAAAATGCTTTGTCAATCCACACAAGTGTTTGTCTGGGGGAGTTTGTAAAGTGTACAGTACATGAGTTCAGTAGGGATAAAATATAATGTAGGCATAAGCAACCGTACATACACGAAGTGTCTATGATCCCAAACAGTTCGCTGACGGAAGCACAAGACCTAAAAATGAAGCAACCGGGTGTCTATAACACAAGGGCGCACACGTCTTATTTGAAATCAGTGATTTGGCAAGCAAAGAAGTCAGTACCATTTAGGGTCTTCAGTCTACTGGACAAGAAGGAGGACACAATTTTCTTCCTGTACATTGGTGGAGTAAGAAAGAAAACGCCTTTGCCGCCAGCATTCCTTTGTTAAGCACTCAGGCCTCTTTATAGGTCAGATTCTCTGCTAGGCTGGGAATAT